ATATATATATATATATAATTGCTTCCTATTAGTGGACACATCATCTTTTTGCACATCATTAAAGTACTTTTCTTTCAATAAAATAAAATTAAATGTCTTCATCTTTTTACAAAGCAGAATGATTGGAAATTGTCAAATTAAATAAACATTTATTTTAAGATATGTTATCCTATTATATTTATTAAATGATTATTTCATTTTTTCAATTAAATTTTTCAACCCTTTCCCTTAACATTTCAGAAACCCGCTTTTAAAGCCCCCTGGTGTACAGGTGTGCTACTGTATTGTGTTGATGGTGGTGATTTGTAATAAACTCTGAAAGTGACCTGTGATGATGTCCTCGATGGCTCCGTCTTTTCCTTCTCGCACCAGCGGCGACATCTGTCTGCGCTTCAGCTCCGATATCAGATCCAGCTGAGGTAAACGCAGCGGCTGACACACACACACACACACACACATTGCAAGGTTATTCTACTGCAGTTTAGCATATTTAATTAGTTTTTTATTTCAATACTATTTTTACATTTGCTGTAAATTTCAGTTCAGTTTTAGTTCATTTCATTGTCAGTTTTTTTTTGTGAAGACATTTCCATTCATTTATTAATTTTCTTTTCGGCTTAGTCCCTTTATTAATCAGGGGTCGCCACAACGGAATGAACCGCCAACTTACAGTATTCAGCAAATTTTTCACGCAGTGGATGCCCTTCCAGCTCCAACCCAACACTGGGAAACACCTATACACTCTTACTCACACACATACGCTACGGCCAATTAGCTTATTAAATTCAAATATACCGCATGTGTTTGGACTGTGGGGGAAACTGCAGCACCCGGAGGAAACCCACGTGAACACGAGGAATACAGGCACACAGAAATGCCAACTGACCTAGATGAGACTCGAACTAGTGACCTTCTTGCTGTGAGTGCTTCCCACTGCGCCATCGTATTGTAAATTTTTGATATTTCAGTTAACGAATGTATTTTGACCAATATTGACCAGAATTTTGGCTTATCTGTCAACTGTGTGTGTGTGCGTGCGTGTGTGCGTGTTTCTTTACCTTCTGCCTGTGCACCGGAGCATCAGAGAACTTCAGATCTGCAGTTTCTTCACTGTCAGAGAGTCTTTTCCTCCGCTGATCAATTTCCTGTTCACACAGCTGACCACACACACCAAATATTTCAACATTTATACACAAGTATATCTTTTTTACATCTATTTTAGATTACCGTAAATGTGTTATATTACATTGTTCTTTTAATGGAAATAGTTTTAGTTAGTATGTACCATTAGTAGAAACATTTAAGGATCAATGCTCACTATAACCTATTGGGGTTATTACCTGTTTATTATTAAGATGTTGGATTTTTATTAGTGCTTATAAAGTACATGTCCATAATCTTATTCTACATCCGTAATCCTAGCCAATAACCATACTGCAACCTTAATAACTATTTATAATCGCAAAATTAAGAGTTTATTGAGCCAAAAGTGATAGTTAACGGTTAATTAATAGCAAGATATATATACCCTAAACTAAAGCATGATTGAAAAATATTAGGCCCCTTTTCATAAGATTTCAAATAAATCTATGATGTCCCCAGAATGTGTGTGCGTGTAGTTTTTAGGGTTTAGTCGATAGACGATGCCGTCATCCATCGCCTATGTAATGTAATGTGTATTTATATAGCGCATTTATTGTGTATGGCCATACACGCAAAGCGCTTCACAATCATGAGGGGGGTCTCTCCACACCACCACCAGTGTGCAGCATCCACTTGGATGATGTGACGGTAGCCACAGGACAACGGCGCCAGTGCGCTCACCACACACCAGCTATTGGTGGAGTGGAGAGACAGTGATAGAGCCAATTCGGTGGAAGGGGATGATTGGGAGGCCATGATCGTATGGGCCGATAGAGGGACTTTGGCCAGGACACCGGGGTTACACCCCTGCTCTTTCAAGAGAAGTGCCGTGGGATTTTTAATGACCACAGAGAGTCAGGACCTCGGTTTAACGTCTCATCCGAAAGACGGCGCCCACTGACAGTTTAGTGTCCCCTTCACTTTTACTGGGGCATTAGGACTCACGCAGACCACAGGTTGAGCTCCCCCTGCTGGCCTCTCTAACACCACTTCCAACAGCAACCTAGTGTTCCCTAGTGGTCTCCCATTCAGGTACTGACCAGGCTCAGCCCTGCTTAGCTTTAGTGAGTAACCGGTCTTGGGCTGCAGGGTGATATGGCTGTGGATGATAGATATCATGATGCTGAGCTGTCATCGCAATCCTCCGCCCTGCCCCTGCTGCAGTAGCAACCTGCTCGTGAAAAGTACCCACACGCTCATACATCTAATATGAACGAAAACGATCCACATCCACACTGGGGTTTCATCTAGCATTACTAAAAATATTTCTGTCCACACTATAGCGCTGAAAACACACATCACGTGACAACACACACACTCTGTTATGCACTGCAGCGTATGCGCACGTCTGAGCTCCAGCAGTCAGCAGGTGCTTTGAGCACAAAACCCCAGAGAGCAGTGCACGTCGGACAGTTTATCAAGGATGTACCACTGAATAGTGTCTCACTATAGTTGTTAAACGTGATATTAAATTAATCGTGTCTCTATCTAACGACTGACTTTCACGCTTGAACTTAGTCATTTTAGCGAAAACCTCAGATACTGTTGGTTGGTTGCTGTTGGTTGTGCACCTTTTTTTTTACCAATCATGACGCCATTAAAACGACACAGATCTCTCTGCCTATTCATGGCAGAGTCAGGCGGAAAAAGTGATTGACAGGTGGTAAAATGTGTGTAACTTATCTTGATTTATTTAGGATTTGGTTATGGGTAAAACAAAGACCATGTGGGTCAGGTTGAAGCGGTAGGCTACAAATAACCTATTCTTTATCAATGTATTAATTATTCTTAAAAAAAATTATTCACCTCTGACTAAGACGACAATGCCATTGTCCATCGCGATGTTTCACATTAGACATCGTACGATTTCAAATTGGTCGACATCACCAAACTCTAGTAGTTTTACCTCAAAATATCTCACAAACCATTTATTATACAATAGCTTGTCAAATTTCCCTCTATTCGTTTGTGAGAAAAGCACATATTTGTGCACGTCCCTTTAAATGCAAATGAGCTGCTGGTTTCCAGAAAGGGGCGGAGACTTCAGTCGCTATTCTGACACTTCAGACACAACATAAGCAAATCTCACACAGCAAAACATGTCAGAAATGATCAGCAGTGGATTTAATTTTACATGTTCAAGACAATGATGGAGAGGAAGAGAAACTTCAAGACCAGGGGTCACCAAACATGTTCCTGGAGGGCCGGTGTCCTGCAGATTTTAGCTCCAACCCTAATCAAACACACCTGAACATGCTTATCAAGGTCTTACTAGGTATACTTGAAACACCCAGGCAGGTGTGTTGAGGCAAGTTGGAGCTAAACCCTGCAGGGCACCGGACCTCCAGGAACGAGATTGGTGACCCCTGTTAGACTGGTTGATTCAGAACGGTTGGTGAACATGTATATTTTGTATATTTTTTTATATTTGTATATTTTTTATTTATTTAAAAGTTTCAAGTTCAAAAAGAAAGACTAGTACTAGTGGAGTTTGTCTACAAGAAAATACTGCTTCATTCATATTTTCACTCTTATTATGTCTACTTCAGATGCTGTGTCAGTGAAAATGCAAGTAAGTTTGACTTTAAGTCTATCAAAGTATTTTGTTTGCTTGCTTTCAGCATCTTCATGGTTTTGTTGGCTCACAGCGACAGCAGTGTAATGTACAGTATGTGTTTAAGATGATCAGTGTGTGTGTGATGATTTCTCCACCTTGTATGCTTTGATGAAGCGTGTGAAGACGGGAAAGAAGGCGGACGGAGGAGTGGATTTGGGATTCTCTCCGAAATACTCCACCACAGACTGATAGGCTTCCTGTGGACACACATGCAGAAGGTGTTAGTGTGTGTGTGTGTTTGTGTATGTGTGGTTCCCTCATGTGTAGTAATATCAGTGATTTGTGACCTTGTGGGGACATTTATTTTGTCCCCCTGAGGAAAACATCTTATAAGTCACACGTTGAAGAATTGTCAAACTGTAAAACTGCATAGAGTTGGGGTAGGGGGATACAATATACCGTGTGTACAGTGTAAAAATCCCTACGTCTATGGGAAGACACTATAAAACATGAAAACTCAATGTGTGTGTGTATGTGTACAAATACACACGGATAAAGACACACATGTACAGAAACACACATATGCATATCCAGAATGAATATGCAGACACATATTCAGGCACAAACACACATAAACAGACACAAACAGGTACAGATACACACCTACAGACTCATGTATAGGCATGCACAGACACACACATTCGGAGGCAAACACAAATTGACACACAGAAACACACATACAAACGCAGACACAGTGTATGTTTGTGTCTGAGTTTGTGAGACTGTCTGTGTTTGTGCATATTTGTCTGTGCAAGGGTATGTGTGTGTCTGTTTGTGTATGTCAGTATGTGTTTGTATGTCTGTGTGTGTCTATATGTGTTTGTATTTGTGTGTGTCTGTGTGTGGAGGTGTTTTCTGACCTGTGCTGTTGTGCTGTCCTTGATGAGTGTGTCCAGCAGGCCTCTGTTAGTGCAGATGAACTGTGTGAGGACGCTGCTGTTCTGCTGCTGCTCCAGCTCTTTACACACCACATCCATCCCCTTTTGCAGAGAGCACACGTCCGACAGCACACTGTCCAGAGACACTGACACACACATACATTGATTTAACTACAGCACAAACACTAAAACATTATATTTAAAGAACCGACGGTTATACATTTTCAAACTTTTGATTTTACATAAAATATTTAATAAATAATCACAAAATACTTAAGTATATAAATACTAAAAACTATTTTTATACATTTAAAAACTATTTTATGTTAAAATATAAGACACTTGAGGTGTAAATTTAACCTAACAAACCAAAATATTAACTTTTAAATAAATATTTTGATCAACTACAGTTATGTAGAGAGAAAAGTGAAACTATTTGTATTAAAATATTAATAAATAGAAAAATACACCTAAAAACATTTGATTTAATTATTTTAAAGGTGTGTAAAGAATAAAACTAATGAAATCAGTCAATATTTCAAAAAAATATATTTTAAATAAGGATAAAAATTACAAACAAAACCTGAATTGGCATCATAGCAATTGAGATCAGTACAAAATTAAGAATATTAATAATCAATAATACTGTATACAATATATAACATTTTTTTCAAATAAAAATCACTGTAATATGCTTCAGATCTGTTACACTTTTAGCTGATGCGTGTGTTTGTGTGTTTACTCACCGAGTGCTGCTTTATCCAGAAAGTGTAGTTCGGTGTGGAAGTTGCTGAGCTGAGGGTATTTGTCCTGAATGATGCTGACGATGAAATGCAGGAGCGTCTGTTTGCGGTCTGTAGACTTCATGTCCAGAAGCTGACAAAACATGTACAGTAGTTAAACAACAGCAAATGAGACTTCAAATGACAAAAAATTAGCTGAAATTCTTGAAATGGCAATTGTAAATCAAATTTTATATGTCGGTAGTCTAAAGATGCAAAACTGGAATATCGCTGCAAAAGCAGCATTTCCATGCAATGAGTCAAAGAGAAAAAAACATCACTTATAATAATAATAATAAAAAAACTAAACCACTGTGATGACAGACTTTGGCTGAGGGATTTGAGAATGTCCAAAACAACATTTCAGATGTTTTATAATGTGCTCGAAATGCTGGTTTGTCCATTAAAGCCGTCCATCACAGCCATTTTTATCATCAGATCTCATTAAAATAAAAATAAATCACATGACTTGTTTAATCCGCATGTTTTTTTTTTTCGGTAAGTCATACTATGGTAGTTTCTGCACATTTTTCCTTATTATATAAAAGGTTTATCCTATTTTCAAAGGTTAGGCTCATGCTTTTTTTAAGGCATAATTTTTCAATCCAAAATGTGCATGAAAACAGGTGGATGGAAACATGGCTTGTAATGTCATCCTTTCTTTTTTTATGTGAAACAATTAACTTTGATACAACTTGTAATGACATGCTAGCGTATAAAACATCCTAACACATAAAACAGTTCCAAAAACTCACATATTTAATAACAGTATTTACTTAAACATTATAAAATATTTCAACAATTCATTCATTTTCCTTCGGGTTAGTCTCTTATTTATCAGAGATCACGACAGCGGAATAAACCGCCAACTATTTCAGCATATGTTTTACGCACTGGATGTCTTTTCAGCAGCAACCCAGTACTGGAAAACATCCATAGACTACAGCCAATTTACCTATAGCGCATGTGTTTGGACTCTGGGGGAAACCGGAGCACCCGAGGGAAACCCACACCAACACGGGGAGAACATGCAAACTCTGCACAGAAATATCAACTGATCTAGCTGGGACTCGAACCAGTGACCTTCTTGCTGTGAGGCTAACCACTGAGCCACCCATTATAAAATATTTTTTAAGTATATCTCATCTGTATCTCACACACACATGAGCAGAAAAAAAAACAAATAAATGTAAATGATTAATTCATTACTCCTCCAATCCAAACAAAACGGTAAAAGACGACCACAGTTTTACAATTAACTCTTCCTAGCTGTAGCAGTCATAATTTCCATGAGCATATGTTGGAATAATAAATTCAACAAATAATCAATGTTTAATGAATGTTTCTTTTTCCAATGTTCAAACGAAATAAAGGTTTCCAATAGCTTTTGTTGATCTGGGTAATGTCAGCTTCTGTTTTTTGTCTCACCAGATCCAGGCTTTGGAGTCTGAATCCGTACGCAGATCCTCTCTTTCCGCTGTTCATGTAATTCCCAAACGCTAGAATGATCTGGAAAAGAGAGAAGCAGGAGTTTTCAGCAGGTTTGCACAGATGATGTTGTTTTTGTATGCGCGTTTCACATGTTTCTCTTCACCTCCAGGATCTTCTTGAGTTTGCTGGAGGATCTGATGGATTTGGATGCAGAGATGACGGCGTTCAGTTGCTGGAAAACAAACAAGAGGAGAAACTTCACTGATGATGCTTTTCATTCAGAGGAAAGTGAAAAGGAAATGAATTCAACATGCACTTTTGAACAGAAAGAACTTACTGTAAATGGTAAATGGTAACTTACTGTAAATGGTATATAGAGAAAGCAATAGAGAAAATACATTGAATAGTACTTTCTAGTAAAATGCACTAGGGGCATAGCACTATCGCTTCACAGCAAGATGGTCGCTGGTTCGAGTCCCGGCTGGGTTAGTTGGCATTTCTGTGTGGGGTTTGCATGTTCTCCCCGTGTTGGCGTGGGTTTCCCTCACAGTCCAAACATATGCGCTATAGATGAATTAGATGAACTAAACTGACCATCGTGTATGAGTGTGTCTGTGAATGTGTAAGTCTGTTTCCCAGTATTGGATTAAAGCTGGAAGGGTATCCGCTGCGTAAAACATATGCTTGAATAGTTGGTTGTTCATTTAGCTGTGGTGACCCAGATAAATAAGAGACTAAGCTGATAGAAAATGAATGAGTAAAATGCACTAATATTCATAGTAATATGAATATAATATAATAATAAAAACAATATAAGCTTAATAATCTTTGCTTATGTGACATTTGAATAATAAATACAGTTTAATAATGAAAATAATCCATATAATATTACAGAACAGTGATTGTTTATTTGTTCAGGGCTAAAATTTAAACTGTATTATTATTCATTTACTCATCCACTTTGTTTTCAGCTTAGTCCCTTTATTAATCTGGGGTCGCCACAGCGGAATGAACTGCCAACTTGTATGCCATATGTTTTTACGCAGCGGATGCCTTTCCAGAAGCAACCTATCTCTGGGATATATCCATACACACTCATTCACACTCATACACTTTGGACAATTTAGCAATTCACCTATAGTGGATGTCTTTGGACTGTGGGGGAAACCAGAGCAACCAGAGGAAACCCACACGAACGCATGGAGAACATGCAAACTCCTCACTGAAACGCCAACTGACCCAGCTGAGGCATGAACCAGCAACCTTCTTGCTGTGAGGCGACAGCACTACCTACTGCGCCACTGCGTCGCCCGTATTATTATTATTATAACTATGAATTTAGTTATTTCAGTGGGATAAAAGTATTTAAAATCAGTGCCAATTTAGTTTTTGTTATTTCTGATTTTTATAAGTTCTGTTACTAATTTTGATTTAGTAACTTAGTAGTTTTAATAAATACAAATTGCATTTTTTTCTTTCTTTAAAAATGCACTTTTTAGTTTAAGTTGTTTTATAATAAAAATGTGTTTATATATTTTTTCATGCACTTTTATTTCAGTTTTACTTTTGATTATTTAAGTTCTTCAAGTTCAACTAAATTTTAAATAATAACTGTTGTAATATTTATTATTTAAGTTTTTGTTACAAAAATTTGCTGTCTGTTTATTTATTAAAATAGATGATTAATTATTTATAATTAAATGTCTATTTAACTTTTATTCATTTTGGTTTTATTTATTTAATAGAGTAAGCTAAAAGTAAATGAAAATGAAAACTTTTGTGTGCTTTTTTATTTTTGTATATCAAGTTCATCTAAATAAAAATGAGAAATTGCAAATAACTCAAACATACTTAAAAAATCAATTAGTTGTACTAAATTCATAGCTATAAAGGATATAATATATAATAATTAATAAAACTCAGGAAGCACGGTAGCTCAGTCAGTGGTTAGCACTGCCACCTCACAGCAAGAAGGTCGCTGGTTTGAGTCCCGGCTGGGTCAGTTGGCATTTCTGTCTGGAGTTTGCATGAATTGAATAAACTAAATTGGATGTAGTGTATGAGTGTAAATGGGTGTTTATGGGTGTTTCCCAATACTTGTTTGCAGCTGGAAGAGCATCCACTGTGTAAAAAATATGCTAGATAAGTTGGTGGTTCATTCCGCTGTGGCGACCCCTGAATAAAGGGACTAAGCTGAAGAAAAATGAACGATTGAAAAAAAAATTCTGTGTCCTTAAGCAAAACAAGTGTACATCCGCTGCTGTGTTCAGTTTCACAGATTATTATGAAACTGTATTTAAATATCAGAATTCCTAGCAATGTAATACATGCAAAGGTAGTTTAAGTTTTATTATTTTATTACAGCAAAGCAATAAAAATGTGAAATGTTAAAGCTGAAATTAAACAAGTATTATTATCATTATTATTATTATTAATTTATTAGTTTTGAGTGTTGATCTTATGTTCTATTTATTTATATAAATAAATAATATGATATACTGTACATAACACTGGCCAAATTACTGTTGGAGGTTTCATTCCTAAATTTGAGCAGCCTGGTGGCTAATCGTCATTGATTGCACATTCCACTGGTAAGAGCAGTGAGAAGGGTTAATTGGTAGAGTGTGTGTGTGTGTGTGTGTGTGTGTGTGTATATATATACATATATATATATATACATATA